TACGAAAGCACCATATTAACCTGGTTTATTTTTACAAAGATAAATGAAAGTATAACAAGGAAAGGAAGCATAGTAGACAAAGTTCCATAACGTATATTGGAAAATGTACAGTAAAGTTTGTTGACATGATGTATTATATCATAAGGAAATAAGTCTTGACTTGCTGGGGCCCTACAGTATTTAATGATATGGAAGATATTCCATTAACTGTAATAACTTAGATTATTAACTCTAATAATTTAGACAAGAGTTTTTGGAAGTTGATAGGATGTCTGGCATGTGTTAATTGCTGGGCTGAGAAAAATCTTGAGTATTACTGCAAGTTTAAATGTTTAATACAACTTTTGGGGATTGAAAGGTAGAGTTGCTATACTGCACTGAATCCCATCGTTGGGTGTTTTGTTCTGTTTTTTTTTGTTTGTTTGTTCTTGGATCTATTTTATTTATTTCTCCTGCAAGAAGTAGAGAAGACAAAGAATAAATGTCCTGTGGGATTTTCCTTGATGCAGAATGGGAGGTATTTTGCAGAGACTGTTCATCCATCTTTACTGGAAAAGACCAGAGTGGAGATAATAAACAAGCAAAAGATTTTTTTTTTTTTTTTGCATGACGACTGAAACAACTGCATCTTAAGTTCAAAAACAAAGAATTAGAGAAAGAAAAAAGGAATCTTAGGAAATTAGCTTACCAGGAAAAGGAAAGTTTGTTTTTTTTTTTTTTTTTTTTTTTTAAAAAAAAAAAAAGTATAACTCTGCCAGGAGGTAGCTTGATTGTGGCAATTTGTGCACTGGACCTAACATCCAAGTGATGCTGAAGGGCTTCAGCATTAATAGAAGAAGGAATCAGAATATGAAATACTTTAATACTTTCTATTCTTCTGCTAATAGGTCTGCAGCTTTTACATTACTTTAAGAGGACTATGAAGTGAAATTGTCTAGGGTTGCGTATTCCATACAAAGGCAGATTATTACATGGAAAGGGCCAAACGTAATAGGAAGTGCCAGAAAAATGTGTGGAGATTTTACCCCTGGAGTCCACAGTCTTGCTATATTTACAAAATATTAAAAGGAAGAATACTAAGAGGCAGTATATGGTTGGCATACAAAACATCTTTCAGTGCAGTTTCAATTTTAGACCAATTTTACAACAGCAGAAGTTATAATAAATATCTCATTTCAACAGTATGACTCAATTGAGCACATTCAAACCTGCTTTAGATAATACTGAGCAAAGAAGAAACATAAAATTGTCATAGCATCTACATTAATAGTGAATTTCAGTTAGGAACTGCAGAAGAATCACTGGGTAGCCCTGTAATTAAGGCACTGACATTGTTAGTAGCAGACCATGAGCTGTACATTGTTCACAAGGCCTCAGAACTGAGGCTTTTTCAGTCTTTTTAATTTGAGCTTCCCTTCACCTGCCTGCAGCTTTGTTTTACTAGGTTTAGTTATGGCAGCAATCTCATTAATTATCCAGGTGTCTAGTAGCATTTTTTAATTTATATTTTTCTTTATCATAGAATCATTTGAGTGTGAATGCCCCCTGTCCCCTCCCCCACTCCCCCTCAGCGGTCATCTGGTCCAATTCCCTTGCAATGAACAGAAATATCCACAGTTCAGTAAGATTGCTCAGAGCCTGATCCAGCCTGGCTTTGAATGTTTCCAAGTATGGGGCATTCATCACTTCTCTGGGCAATGTGTGCCAGTGCCCTATTACCCTTATTGTCAAAAACTTCCTTACATTCAGTCTAAATCTTTGTTCTTCTAGTTTGAAACAATTTCTTTTTGTCCTGAGATAACAAACCCAATAAACCCTGCTAAAGAGTCTATCCCCTACTTTCTTATAGTCCCCTTTTTAGGTAGCAGCCTGAAAGGCCACTCTCAGCTTTCAGAAAAACCCAAACTCTCTTGACCCATCTTTGTAGGGAGAGTGTTGCATTCCTTGGATCACTTTTGTGGTCCTCCTCTTGACACGCTCCAGCAGGTCCATGTCTCTCCTATATTGGAGACTCCACATCTGGATGTAGTACTCCAAGTCAAGTCTCACCAGCTCAGAGCAAAATGGTGGGATTACCTCCCTCAACCTGCTGTCCACATGTCTGTTGATACAGCTACTAATTCGGTCGGCTTTCTGGGCTGTGAGAGCACATTGCTGGCTTATGTACAGCTTGCCATCGATCAATGCCCCCAAGTCTTTTTCAGTAAGACTGTACACTATCCTTACATCCCCCAACTAGTACTGATAGCAAGGGTTTCCACTATCCAGATATAAGACCTTGCACCTGTCTTTGTTGAAACTGATGATTCTTCTGGGCACGCTGCTTGAACCTGTCTAGGTCACTCTGAATGGTCCCTTGAGCATGTTGTCCACACCACACAGCATTGTGTCATCCGCTGACTTGCTGAGAGTGCACTTGACCCCACTGTCATTGTCACTGATGAAGATGTTAATGAATATCCATCCCAGTATTGACTTCCTAGAGACAATATTTGTCACCGATCCGCATCCATTAAACCACCACTCTCAAGATAAGGTCTTGCAACTAGTTCCTCCACCAAACATTCCACCTGTCAAATCCTTATCTTTCCAATTTGGAGAGAAGGATGTTGGGGACTGTGTTAAAGATCTTACTGAAAATCCAGATAGATGACATCAGTGGCTCTTCCTTTGTCTATTGACACAGTTTCATCACTGTACAAGGCGGATTTTTGGTCTGACAGGATATGCTCTTACTGAAGTCAGGTTGTTTGTCTTTCATGACCTCTCTAGAAAGAAAGCACTAGCCAGCTTAATGGAAACTTTTGCAGCTTTGAGAATTTTGGTAAGAGAATACTGAAAAACTGGTGCAACAGGCTCAAGTAATAAGAAAGAGGACTCAGGCACAGCCTGCCAGAAAGTGCTACCAAAATTCCTCACAGAAAAGAGAGAGTGAAAATGAGCCTTGAAGAATAATTTGGACTGTAAATGACAATTAGATCTCTGAGCTAAGGAGGGACCATAGGTCCAAAGTGGTGCTATTAAACACAGTTTCTGAATGATGAATGAGCGGATACATGTCTGCAATTCTGATTTACAGGTAAGATTTCATCAATTCAAACTATTTTCTAATTTTCATGTGTACCATTCAGGTTTCTTTTCTGTGATTTTCATGTGATCTAAAGCAAGAGATGGTATTGTAAATGTCTCGCATATGATTGTTATGACCCTTCATTTCTACAGAGAGTAGTTAACCTGTGGTGAGAAGATCTAAATTTTAGAGAAAAGGAAATACTGCATGATTTCCTAACACTTTTCTATTAGTCCATCACAAACAAGGAATAGAAGATACACTTGAACAAAGTCTAGGATAGCTGATGTCTGAAAGCTTGGCCTCAAATCATGCCATCAAAAATGTCTGCTTTCATGGTCTCTTTTTAAGCATCTTGCCTGTCACCCCTAGTGAGAGAAAGAATGAGGAGGAAAAAAAAAAAACAACAGTTAAATTGTAGTGGTTTTCAGATTAATTCAAGTAAAGCGTTAATCTTGGAATTTGACTTTCTTGGAACAATAAAAAAATCACAGGCCAAAAAAACACTGTACGATGTAACTATTTTTCTGTTATTCGTCTTTTATAACTTCACCATTTCCATTTCAACAGCAAGGATTCTTATTAACTCCTCTTCCTGAAGAAAAACAAAAAGCTATTATTATTTGCTTATTTGCTTATTCCTATATTTGTTTTTTTGTTTATTTTAGATTATCAGTATTTTCATCACCACAAATGCCTTTTTAAAATGACAGTACTATGTGATGAGAGGAAATCAGGTAATTTTAAAGGGTTGCTTCAAACTTTTGTTGACTTTTTACCTTGGAGTTTTGCTCTGCTGGAGTGCTACAAACACATAGAATGACTTCTTGAAATTTTCAGCTGCTAACGAGACCAGGATTAAGAAAGTTGGTACATTTCATCTACAATTTATTTGTCAAGAAACTTCAAGTTAATACCACTGGAGAATAAACAACAGCATCTCGCTCTGCAAACTATATGAATGTAATTGAGAAGATGAATTTTTTTTTCCTGTGCCTGATTAAAACAAATCCAATAGTGAATGTGAAAATGTTTTTGAGTTCTTACAAAGTATTTTTGAGTATTTTTACTGCATTTGTTTTGAAGATGCTGTCATATGACTAGGAATAATAACTTAAAAAAATGAATATTACTAAGTAAAATGCAACATTTAAATAGAAGATTTCAAAGTTTATTGTTGTTATTTTTAGGTTTTGTTTTCTTTTTATCCTCTTTGTTTTATTTGACAAGCTCCTTGCAGAAAGAAAGCAGACACTGTGTGGCAACTGGGTCCCACCTTTTGGAAAGTGTAAATGAGGAAAAGTGTATGATATTACAGTAATTTAATGTATTATTTCCTAAAAGGTTAGCTTCAACTCTACATACGACACCAGAGATGAAATAACACCAATTTTCATTTATTAATTTTATTTTCCACACCGTGGTTTAGATTATTTAATATCATTACATTACTGATGTGTATTACTGGAAATGTACATATCCAATTCCTATTGTTTTTGATAAATCATCTCATTTTTTTTCTCCTTCGCTTTTTTTAATTTTTAATTTACTTATCCTTTTTTTCCTTTTCTTTCTTTTTCTTTTATTTTTCTTTCTCTTTCCCTTTCTCTTCTTTTTTTTTTTTTTCTTTCATTTGAAGCATTGTTTTTCTTTTCTGGATCATTATTTAAATTTAATACTAGTGAGAAGAATATACATTGAATACTGCAAAAAAAAAAATTCTTCCTAAATATTATATAGACAGTACTGAAGATCAGAAAGTGCCAAAAAGCTCATGTGAGTTAATTAGGGGAGAAAAATGAGTGCATGCTATGTTGTTAAGTACAGTAATCACACAGTGCTGGGCCTTGAGAAACCCTAGAAACTTAGAAACCCTAGAAAATTCCAAACATTTTCTCATAAACAGCTCTGACAAAAGCTGTGATTTCAGAGTCTTTTGAATAGATGTAAACGTGAGGAGATACCAACTGCCCTGAAAAAATAAGGTAGAATGGAAAGTAATAATCTATTTGTGTCATGTATCAATGACTTAATCTTATTTTGTGCAAACATCAGGTCCTTTGGATGCTGAAAAGATATAGGGAGTCATAAATCATTATTCTTACAGTCCTATCAAAGAACCAGAGACAAATATGAGTCGTTAAAAGAAATACATTTCAGATTGCTTCACAAAATTCTCAGCTAGAACTTCGTATAGTGCCTTTAAGATACTACAAACAAATATTAAGTTTTTTCACAGTGAAATTCCTAGAATTCAGAAAGGAATTAAAACGGTTAGCTCCAGAACCTGTACTTCTATAACTCTATTTCATGTTTATATGAATCACATAAAAAGTAGTAATTGGAAATACAAGCAATACAAGCAAATAGGTCAAAATAGATGAAAAATAATTCAAGAAAGAGAAAAGTGGTTCATGAGATGTATAAAATTTTATTAAGTCGTGGCATAATGTACTTAGAATATCTAAGATTTCAGAAGAGTTTTGTTTTAAATGCACCTCCTTAAATTTGGTATTCTTTTGAAAGAAAATTTGCACATCTTATTTTCAGAAATAGTCCCCTATAAATATTAAGAAGTGAGAATATATTCTTGATTGAATCTGTCATTAGGAATGAATGCAGAGAGAAACTTTGACGGATTTCTACTTAACTCACTGTTTAATTGCTTCATAATCCTATTTGTTTGTATGTTTTCCTACAGAATTGAAGATATGAAGACATCAGTCACAACATATTGTGGTAGTGACACAATTTAAATTACTCTCCCATACATGGTTCTGTCCCTAGAGTTTTCATGGCCATGAGACGTTATCTCCAATGAAAATAAGAGTTCATGGTATTGCAACCTCTTTCAATGCTATACAACATGATTCGAGTATCTACATAATGAATTCCATAGTGTTAATACATATGCACATTTGTATGTAGTTGGAAATGAAGAAATATCTTTAATTTCAAAGAGCACATCTTGATGTATTTTGCATAATGACTGTGAACATAGTACATCAGTTAAATGAAAGGAAATAGCTTTTAGTGCAGTGTTCTGTCACAGAAAAATAATAAATCAACAACCTATGAACTCTATGTCCATTTGAAGCATATTCAGAGCCCTCATTAACCTATAGAGGCCAATTTGAATAGAAGCCATTTAATGAAGACACAGAGGGGAGTCTTAATAATTTATTATGATGGAAGAAATGGAAACAAGCTAGAAATGGTAAAAATTACCCAGGTGCTAATGAGATCCAGTAGTGGCTACAGAATCACCTGACTTATGCAACAAAAGGTAATTGCCAAGTCACAGCCACTAAACTCCGTACAACTTTGTACAACAAAAGGAAGGGGCTCTAGAGATAGGTAGTTTTGCAGGAATGAGTAATTTCTGAGTCAAGATCCACTAACTTGCATTTTCTACATGTTTGTTGTTGTGGTTGTTTTTTGTTTTAATTTACTGGGAATATTCCTTAGTAAAACATGGGGTGAAAATTTGAGCTTTCTGTGACAGAACCAGCTGCTTTAGACTAAGTGCCATGTGTTATATTTAATTTGACTGAAATACCTGCAAGGTAATGATGGCATGATTTTAGGTTTCCATAACTGGGATTAAAAAAGAATCTTACTTAATCTTTTCAAGAGATAAGTGCCACCAAAAACATGCAAAGAAAGCTTCATATAAAAGAGGAAAATCATTCTAGAAACTAAATTTCCTCTGCCCATCTAATTACCCCAATCATCAAGTGGCATTGCTTCCTAGCAGCTTTCTCATTCCCTTTTTCTGTTTCTTCATTGTTATCTCCGTTGACGATCAAATTCTTTCTTTGATGCATGGTGGTGAAATTTCAGGAACATACATTTTGAGTATTTTATACAAGGGCTGCTCTGGAATTAATATCTCCTGTTTTATTATGTTGGCCCACAACATCTGAGGTGGATGTTGGTGGTATGGCAGTAAAGCTTGCACCTTCCCACCAATATTCTATTACATTTTGTTGCTGTATGACAGATGACAGCAGAGGGGCAGTCTGACAGATTAGCATCTGACATGAAAATGTGCATGAAGCAAAGGTGTGTGTCACTGAATTCTTCCATGCAGTAAACATTGCACTGATATATTCACTGAGGCTTGCTGAGTATTTATGGAGAACAATGGATATGAGTACAGTGAGGTGGTGTGTGCAGCAGTGGTCACAGAAAAAGGGGACAACTTCTGGTCATGTAGGTACTTATGAGTGTTGCACATAAACTATTTTTCATTGTTGGCAAAAATGTGTAGTTAATGGTGGTCACTATGTTGAAAAATAGTGTTTTGAAGTAAGAATTTTCTCCATAAAATAGTGTTATTTTTCCCCTTGTATCTGTTGTTTTTTCTAGGAAATAAGTAGGAGGCATTACTTTTGAAGCAGCATTCACATTTGCATCTAGAACACCCGTAATGGCTTCTATAATGCCATCCCTCAGGAGATGAAGGTTTGAGTTTTGCACCCTGTATGTCCAGGTAGGCAACTGAACATGAGTTTCCTTCTTAATAATTAACACGTAACAGGATGCCACCGTGACCTGTTACATTTTAAAGAACGGAATAAACTATGCTTGTTTTTTGAAAGCGGAGACAAAAATGTCTGTCTTCAGGAGAGGCTTTCAGTCAATGCTTGGGGCTGCTTCCATAGAGCTCTCAGTAAGCTATGTAAAAGATCTGTCTTCACTCTTTCCTAGCTACTATCCATCAGGTGTACTCTAAAAGTGCTGATTTTACCTACCTAGTTGATCATTTTACATTTTCACCTTTATTCTCTTTACTTGTACATAGTGGAATCATCAGTTCTGTTCACAAAGATGGATGTCATATCATAGCAATGCATTAATGGTATATACTGGAAAGCCAACTCACTAGATAAAAAATGAGCAGCAATGTAATTAGCTGACATGCCTAACCAGTTTTCATTTATTTGCAGAATTTTGTGACTAATGAAAACGCAAAAGAGAAGTGAGAAGTATTACATTGATAGTTTTATACGTATTTTCTTAGATTCTAAATAATATTGTTACAAAAACCTGATCTTACTACAGGCAAGAAAGAAATACTGGCATATGTTCTCCTCTGCACAAGAGGCTTTTTCAGAGAGCAGAAATTACTTCTGCTGCTCAGCTGTCTTATGTACAGAGTTTTGTAGGGTTTCTTGGAGTACCCACACACAATCAGTGATTATCACGCTTATAATTGCCAGTATTTTGAAAAGATCCCAAGCCACAAATACAGTTGTATAGAGGTAGCATGCAGTACATTATTTCTATAACCTTAACCAGTCCAAATCACAAGTTGCTCCGTAGCAGTCATAGGTCATGTCATCAACTTTGTCACTGTTTCTCTACTGAATCTTTCTTGCAAATCAGCTCTGTGTTACCATGACTACCACCACTGTATAAGACATCTACTCTGATACTGATCTAGGCGGACATTACTGCAAAATCAGGTTTAGTACAACATTGTTGACAATGTTTGTGATTCACTAAAATAGCATTTTCCATTACACTACAAGCAGTTCAGTAAATCTACTCTTGTCTCCTACAATCACTCCTGAGTACTTGGGTAAAAAGCGCTCTCATCCTACGTTCAACACTTTTCTGTTTTGTTAGGAGCACTAACATGTAATCTTAAGTAAGGGAAAAGCAGCAGAACAAGACTGAGCTTCTGACTTAAGATTCTTACGTAGTAGATCTACATTCTAGTGCCTATGCGAGCATTAGAGTGTAGAAAAAGAACTGAGCAGAATAGAATTACTATAAAGGAGATAATAAAAATATCCCAAAATGCAAGCTACTTACAAGTTTATACCTATCCTGAAATGTGGCAAAGGGGAGATAGGAGGTTTTAGAAGTTTTCCTAATTCAGTGATTTTTTTAAAAAGCTATTGTTAATTTGGTGTGTGTACATGTATTTTTGAAGCTTTATAAATCTTGTAAATTTTTCTACTTACGGTCTTAAGTAATTGCCTAAAGTGATCTTACTTTAAAGCCAGTGGTGTTGAGCATTACTTTTGATTCATACTAGGTTTGGATGAAATGTGACTACTCATGGTTTACTTTTGGAATCACCACTTAACTGGACAGAGATGACGAGATCCTGGTTTTAGAGGCTCTGCAACATATTTCACTAGATTTACATTTGCTTTATGTGCCAAAATCACTGAAAATTATATAATATTATATTTGTTAATCAGTGAACTAAATGAGGAATATATGAACCAAACTATCTAGAATAGCACAGAGAAAAAGTTACAGTTTACGTGAAAATTTAATTTCTTGATGACATTCAACGTGATAAATTTTTAGTGCATTTCAGTCATATTTATGTGAAACATTTGGTACAACAGGGACCATGCAGATTTTAGAAAATGCTTCATCTCTGTGCTAGAATATTTAATAGAAAACTGAAGCTACCAATCTCAACCCAAAGCGGTAGTACCTCTTTGAGTATTTCAGTATTCTAAGCTGTGGCCAAAACTAATATGCATTATCAACAAGCCTGTCTATTATTCAAAAATAAATGATTTATGGTTAGGAAATTGAACCATCTACTGAAATGGCTGCTTGATTAGGTATTGTTACTAATCAGTGCAATTCATTGGGTTGTGCAAATACATCTGAAATGGTCTTGCTACCAGTGAACAAGAGAAGAAAAAACTCTGAAGTAGACATTTATCAAACTATACTGATTAAATGCTGGCTCTAGGAAATAGCACCATATGAACTGGTGTTTAGTCAATAAGAATGAGATGAAATCCATATTACAGCTTTCCAAACAATCATCTGGATGATAATGCAAAGTGTTGCCTGAAGAAAAACAAAAGAGTAGAAATATTAAATGATGTGGTATTTGATGATGATGGATCTTCACTCTCTAATAAGAACAGTTGCACATGAGTATCAGTTTCTTTGTTGGGTTTTGTTTGTTTAATACAGAGTTATAATTAAATGTAACACCACCATCATAAACATAGAAAATCTATGAAAAAATAGGATAGATGCCAATAATATTTGTAATAGAAGAGTCTCTTTGAACACATCTATGTTTAAAAATATATCCTCTAAGAGAGCCTTTGGTTGACCTTCATCTTGATACATAACCAAGCCTGGAATGATAACTTAAAATCATTTCATACTTCTGGTTATTTTTTTGCTGACTGTTTTTGTTGTTTGCTTGGTTTTTTTTTCCTGCAGTAATGTGATCCGTTTTTCTGATGGTAGACTAAATGGATTAACCCTACCCATCTCTGAATTCTTGCTTTCCATACAAGGCAAAAAGGCTGGAAATGAATCCTCAAGCAAATTATTAACTGGCTAATAATTTGGCCTTGAAATATTCTGTGCATGTGCAAAGTCACTAACGCCTTAGAAAACATCGCCTCTTGCACTTTTGATATAGAACATCAAGATTTATTACTTCTGAGATTCAGGAAGTCTGGAAACTCATTAAAATAATTATTTTATACATGATCTTTCAGAGACATTATCATCTTTTGAAGTTTCATCTGGAAGTTACAGTAGTTAATTCAGGACTGCAGTTTTGCAGTTTGTACTATTAGTTTGATTCTAACTTTTTCTAAGCATATGGAAAAGTTATAAGAACACGATTTTCAGAGAATATTGCCTTCAAACTGGCATTTACATGATTTATTTAGAAATACTAGAAATCTTCCCATAACTTATTTGCTTATTGCCATAATCATTAATAAATTCTAATCTCTTAAAATCAAAGTTATTGAATGAATTACATGGTACGTCTAAGAAATCAAACTAGCACTGAGTTTTGCACTGTTGTTTAACTGAAAAAATAAGTAACTATTATATAGTACTATATGTCATTTAAGTGGTGATGAACTAAGAACTGATTTGTCTGTTCATTGTGATAACATTAAAATTCAAAGCTTTCCAGCAAAGGGATAGAAAGTTGTTACCAAAATGTTATATTTCAGAGGCACAAAGAAGAGCTCCTAACTGGAATATGAGAAGAAAACTTTTCTATACCTAGAACTGTGTGACCACTTATAATTTGCCTGTGATAATCTTTCAAAGTAGAATTTGCTTACGGAAAGCCAGAGTCACAAAAAGATAATTTATTCCATATTCTTTCTTAAAAAGAAATGGTTTGAAGTCTATAGGGCTTTGTAACAAATCTCTTGATAAACTTTTCAGTTATTATTCCAAATGTATCTGTGGCAGAAATAAACATTTGTGAGGCTTTGAAAGCTTTTGAAAGCTTTTTAGAAAGAATTGTTCAATACTTAGCTTTGTTCTGTTATACTCAAAATTAGGTAATTGATAATAACTCCTCACAATATTGAGTACTGTGAAAAAGCAAATGTACGAAGAATATTTCTTTTTTCTTTCTTCTCAAGCATGATGTTACTGGTGATCCTACCAGATCCTACTGGTGGTCACTAGCCCACACAAAGAAATGAGGCATGAAGTGGAACTGAATATTTTTAGAGCACAAAGAAACACACAGCATTTAAAGTACTCAAGCATCTTTGTGGTTTGTATTCGCCTAGGTAGATGAAGCTTAGTGGAGGGAAATGGGCGAAATACAAATCTATCTGTACTATGTGATTCAAAATTCTTTGTGGAGTGTTCCATTCTCCAGCTGGTAGAGTCAGAAATATATACTGGGAGCAAGTCTAAGACATTTTGATGCAGACACATTGCTAAGAATGAAGATATTATGAAGATGAAGATTAAATGAAGATTAAAATAATAATAATAAAAAACTTTGCAAAGGCATACTCATTCATCTATTTTTAAAAAACAATTCCAGTAGTTTTGTGATATCTCAAACCATTATTTCTTAAAAAGAAGAAATCTTTGTTCTTATATTCAAACCCAATATTCCCTTCAGGAAAATATGCAAAAGACACTTAGCTATCAAAACTGAAACGTTTCAAGAAATGACAAACAAATTTGAGTGAGACAGAAGAAAAAAATATAATTTATTTTATTGAGATATTGTTAATTTGGATGTTGTTTTATTTGCCTTAATGTCCTATGACTAACTTTATATTTTCCTTCATGTGTATATACCTGTGCATAAACTTTTGCAGAAAAGAGACTTATGTTTTTACACATACATATATGAATTCTCTTCAACTGAACGCTTTTATGTATAGATAAAAATATTAACTGAGACAATGAATATTTGAAAATTGTAAGAAAAAAGAAAATATTTCAGGAATTTCAAGTGGCTACATTTTCACATTGCTGCCTTGTTTACTTCAAATGCTGTTTCCAATCCTGAATTTTATGTCAATGGTTCTTGTGTTTTGAACGCCTTTTGTTAATATGTTGTGAAAACTGGAATCTGTTTTTATTCTGCGCTGGCCTTAAGTAAATAAAAAGCTATTTTTAGTCAATTTTATGAAAATCATGTAAGCTTAGTGTGAAGAATGTCAGTGAATGAAACTGTTGATCTTAGTTGTAAAGTTAGAATAATATCATTTGAGGAGTATCAATATTGGAAGAAAACATAGTTTTTTACATAATCATAGAATCACAGAATGGCCTGGGTTGAAAAGGATCGCATTGATCACCTAGTTTCAATCCCCCTGCTGTGTGCAGGGCTGCCAACCACTAGACGAGGCTGCACAGAGCCACATCCAGCCTGGTCTTCAGGGATGGGGTATCCACAACTTCCTTGGGCAACCTATTTTAATGTGTCACCACCCTCTGTGTGATAAACTTTCTCCTAATATCTAACCTAAAACCTCCCCGTCTCAGTTTAAGAACATGTGGAGGTGACCTGTAGCAGGCCCCAATTACTAGATGCACTTTACTGAACCGATCTTGATTTTTACCCACAAGCTCTTGACCTGATCATGGCTGTTCCTCAGACACAGCTCTTTGCAATCTATCCACTTCCTAACACAGAGGGTAACTCTGCCACCCTTTCTATCCTGTCTATCCCTTCTGAAAAGCCTTTAGTCCTCAGTCAAGTTATTCCAATTGTGGAATTCATTTCACCATGTTTCTGTGATAGCAATTAGGTCATGCTTTCCCAATTGCACCACAGTTTCTAGCTTGTCCTGTTTATTTCCCATGCTGCACGTGTTGGTATAGAGACACTTCAGCTTAGCTCTAGGCTTCATTGCCTTCTTGGAGGAGCCCTCCCTAATACCTCCAGGACAAGTCTGAGATTTTCCCTTACCATATGCCAAGGTGAAAGTGTTCCTATGTGCGTTTCTGTCACCCAGTGCACCCTCTTCCCCCACCATATATAGTTTAAAGCCCTGCTAACTGGCCCACCCATCTTGTTCCCAAGAATATTTGTAGCCCTTCTAGTCATTCAGCTCCCATCCGCCGTCAGCAAACAAACAGGGACCATTTGCATGTCAGGCAAACATGGTAACCACTACACTACAAAAACAATAATGTTGAATAATTGCAATAATAACGTTGAATGGTTTTGCTTTTTTGATGTAGGCATAATTTCTTTTATCTGATGCTTGCATTTCTACTTTTATAATAATTCTTGTAGTTAAGGATAGGAAATACAGTCTTCCGTGTGTTCATAGATAAGTGCAGTGCTTGACTTTGTGCCCACTGACCTATCAGTGATTATTTTGATTACGTGGCATCTGCAATATATAAAGAGCTCTGAAGGGTAAACACCTGTGAAAATTACATTGAAAGCTCACACAATGCATTATAAGCTAACTTCAGTTGTTCTCTTAACTTGCATCAAATTCTCATTTTTTCATGACTTCCAAGGTTTGATATGAATTAGGTTAAAATAGTTTGCCATCTTGGAAAAAATCAGCATGCTTAGAATGCTTTAATATACTGAATTCAAAGAAGAAAGCAAAATTTTGCTTTATAACAGAAGGAAATGGCAACTGCAGTGACAAGATAAGACAGGACAGGACAGGTACGATGCAAGTTAGTTCCAATCCCATTGATAGATGTAAGAGAACAAGGCAAATGTGAGAGATTCTGAAATATTTTTGCTGCATTACTTTTGATTGTCAAATAGATATTTTGATAGTGTCATACTTTTCTCAGAGGCAAATCTCATATTCTCTCTCTTTTTTATACATGTCATGAAGAACAAATCTTTATAACCTGTGGTCTAGCAAGTTGCTCTGTAGTCTAAATATAGTAGGATCTATGTGATGTTCATAATGAAAACTATGAGAGGGCAGAAAAAAATAAAAAATCCATTTATTTATTTATTTATTTTTAAATAAGGGATTAAAAATCAAGTATACTTCAAGTATAGGAAATCTCATTCTGTTTTTTTTTTCTGTCACAATTCATAACATTTATTTATCTCTTTCTTCTTCTCCCCTGCTTCAAGGTCTTCGTAATTTAGTCATCTAAACTTTGAGTGTCCTGGAAAGGTTCATGGCCTTTCGGTGGAGAGAATGCTGAACCAAGAGTGGCAGAACCAGCGTATTTCCAATTTTGTAAGGAAACTGGTACAGCTACACTTTCTCCTGTATAACTAGGTCTAGAGAGGTTGTTTAAGTAGTTCATATGTTTCTCTTCTCAAATATGGAAATGATCATTTAGAATTTTTGCTATACGTTCTGTTCAGTTGGCTGCAGGAATACTTTTCATGATTTGTTAAACTCACGTAACTTCAGAATTTCCTTTATTCCTAGGAGAATAAGCATTTCCAGACTTTCATTAGAAATTTTAGAAGTGTTCCACTGAAACTAATTCTTCAATGCTCCTTAGTCTTATACTTTTAAATACTTGTATCTACCACTGCATCCAGTAATTCAGTTAGCCCTCTCTATGTTGTTTGCTTTCTTTCAAGAAAATCTGCTTTGGGCTACAGTGTTTCCAGAATATCACTCTTTGTATTTCTAAACAGGAAAATAAGAGTTATATTTATACTTTATGGTGGAGTGAAGAAGTGTGAGACATAGAATTTGAAAGACTGGGTGACCTGGGTCTGTTCAGCCTTGGGAAAAGAAGACTCAGAGGTGAACTTGTTAATGTTTATAAAAACCTTAAATGTGGGGTGATCCTTCCCCTCTATTCTGCCCTGATCAGGCCTCATATGGAGTACTGTATCGGTTCTGGGCTCCCCAGTGCAAAAAAAGACAAGGACCTCCTGGAGAGAGTCCAGTGGGGGGCCACAAAGATGATAAATGGCCTGAAGCATCTCCCCTGTGCAAAAAGGCTGAGTGAACTGGGTCTGTTCAGCCTTGAGAAAATAAGACTCAGAGGAGATCTGATTAATAAGTATTTAAAGTGCAGGGGTCAAAGGGACATGGCCAACCTCCTTTCAGTGATCTGTGAGGACAGGACAAGGGGAAATGGCCATGAACTGGAGCAAAGGAAGTTCCTCACCAGTATGTGAAGGAACTTCACAGTGAGGGTGACAGAGCACTGGGACAGGCTGCCTGGGGAGATTGTAGATTCTCCTTCTCTGATGATGTTCAAGACCAGCATGGACACCTACCTGTGCAGCCTGCTGCAGGTGGCCTGCTTTGCAGGGGTATTGAACTTGATGACCTCTAGAGGTCCATTTCAATCCCTACAATTCCATGATTCTGTAATTCTGTGATAGCAGTCAGTGTTTGTTTCAACTGTGGTCTATAGAGCCCTTAGTCCTCAATTCAAACTGTATTATTTACTGTGCATTACCACATTGTACTGTCAGAAGTGGATGTTCTACATGTACATGTGTAATCTAGAAATGACAGAAAGTTTAATAATTTTCATCAGAATGGTGTAAGCGGATTTGATAGCACTGATCTTAGGTAGCACTGTCCAAGAGATCATACATTTATTTTTATTATCTTCATTTTTATTTTGCAGAACTCAAGCCTCTTCTTGTGTCTTTTTGATTAATACTTACAAATCAGGAAATCCAGTTCTGTTTACTGATTTTATATCCATAGTGCATATTTGTCAATTTATGAAAAATATTCTCTATAATACTGTATCAGACAATAATGCTATTTGTGCAACATTTCTAAATTCCAGTAAGGTTACTATTAGTAAAAAAAGAAGGGAAAAAGGAAAGAAAAAAAAAGAAAGAAAATTCTCACAAAAAAACACTATAATAATGATAAAAAACAGAGAAATAAGTGCTGAACATTATCACCAATTCTCTTTAACTAAAAATAATGGTACTTGTTACGTTCAAGCATGAAGAAGCTTAAATAAGAAACAGGTTCCAGCTCCTAGTCCTAGAAGTACCCACAGACTTGATCATGTGCTTTATTTTGTTATTTTTTACTCACCTACTGAGAAAACCCAGGGTCCACTGAAGGTCATGGTAAAAATTCTGCTGACTTCAAAGGGAGACAATATTAAAACCCTAAATAATAAATAGCCTGAGGTAAATGAAAATTCTTATAAAGAATGGTGTTTTAGTCTGGATATTGCTAGAAGAGGGTGAAGAGAGAAGCTGGACACCTGTATTGCAGGATTCCTTAAAACAGCCTTTCAAATTCCTCTTTATAGATAAGAGTTTAGATCTGACACAAATTTTAGACTGAGATTTGCCTGTAAATTCAACCATTCACCTTCACGTTTTATTCCAGAGGCAAATCAGTAAAACTGGTCCAATTTTTGTGGGATTCTTCAAGCTTATCAAATTTGAGAGTGAAATGCAGTCTGATTGTCCAATTTTTATAAGATTGTTTATCTCTAAGGCCAGTCATATCATTAAGATGGCTACTACTGTAAGGCTTTTTGGCAAGAAATGGACAAGGCATAGATATCTCCCAGTTTGTAAGCTGGTAAAGCACCAAATCTAGCAATAAGCTGCTGTGATCAAGGACAATAAAAGTCAATAAAAAATAGAAGAAAATTTAGGTTGGAAGTTGCAATTTTCTCTGTTATTCAGATACATCAAAGGTGAAAGAAAGTCAAAGGTCACTCAATGATATTTTAAAATGAAAACATCAGGAGCTTTTGTGTGATTATTTTTGACTTCATACAACAATTGGTTTTCTGAGTGTACACTGGTTATATGGTCTAATTTTCCTTGCTTCCTCACTGGAAGAGAGTTGATGGTGGTTGTGAGAATCCTTCTTTGTTTTTTGGCTCAAAGCTTGCTTCCTGAGGTATTTCTTGTGATAAGACTCTGAATGATTTGTTGAGGAGGCAACTAATGGGTGCTAACGTGTGACAATCAATATTGCTTTGGGAACATTTGAAAGCCCCTTCCCCCAGAGCTGCTTGCTCTGTAGAAGAGCGGATGAGAGTGCTCAGGAGTGTGTACTGTTTACTGGCGGAAGATCTGGCCTGTGACTAAACAGCTCCAGCTAGTTGTGGGAAAACTGGGGAACGATACCATCCTGTTCTGTGAGAAACAGGATGCAGATGGGCATCCCTGCTCCCTGTTATCTGCTGGCA